GGGATGCTCGGATGGAGCCAGGTGGGATGCTCAGACAGAGCCGGGTGGGATGCTCGGACAGGCTCCCCTGCACAGCAGTGCAGGTGTGCGGGCAGGCCAGCCGGTGGCTTCGCCAGGCAGGGGAATGGCCGCATATGCCTGGCATATGTTTGCCCTGGCCTCGTTCACAGCCAGCGCTCTGCTTCCCTACCTGCTTTCCACCCCTCTGTGCACAGCGGGGCCTCCTCCGCCCGAGGAGGAACCAGGTCACCACCGCTAACTTTGAATCTGCAGATCAAAGCGGCACAATCTGGGCCAGCCCTGGGACTGGCCTGCAGCTGGGCTGGAGCGGCTGTGCCAAGAAGAGGTAGAAGAAAAGCAGACAGATGCCTGGGGCATCAAACCTGCTCCAGTAGGATGGTCTTCATGTGGAGCATGTGCTCAGCCGGGATAACGTTAGGACTTTCCTGCTGGTGCTTTTTGCACCCGCTGAAAATCCTCATGGGGTTGTTGATTCTGGGGGAGGGGTTAAAATCCGATTGCTGCTTTGGGTAGGGCTAGTCTGGCCAGCTTGCAGATGGCCCATGCCGGTGGCATTGCCGGGGCTGCGGGGCAGGGCACTAAACCCTACACCAGCTCATATGGGGAGGACGTGCCCGGGCACCGTGGTGCACGGCCAGACCCTTAGCTGCCCACTCGTACCACAGGGCTGGCCGTGGTGGGGAGTTGCGGGAGACCAGCGGGAGGCTGCCTACACGGTGGGGAGGGGGAAAACTGAAGCAGGAGAGCCTGAAATGACTTTTCGAGCACAAGCAAGAAGGTCAGCTCAGAGCAGAAACCACAGACCCTCGTCCCTGCCTCTCCCTGTAGCAGCTTCTAGCTGCGCTGACGCAGGCTGCAAATGCCCACCTCTCTCTTGTCCCCCCCAAAAACCAGCCTGCCGTCCCACCCCGTGCCGGGCTCGCCCCACTATCCTCCAAAGACGTGAGCTTCCCACCCGGCATCTGGTTCCCCCAGCTGCCTGCCAAGCAGTGGAGCTGCCCCACGGCCAGGTGCAGGCAGGGCCAAGTTGTTCATTAGCCATTGCCCCCGCCCCCGGCTCCCCTCCACGAGTCACCGTGTAAAACTCGAAGCAGAACCGAGCGGCTCTAGGACTGCTCCTTTCATGCACTGGCGTGACCTGCACAACCCAGCCCCTGGTGATTGCCTGCATCTCTCAGTGCCTTCAAAGCGGCTCTTGATTGATGTGTTTCCCTGACTCACAAGCTTCAAGAGGCTTTGAAGACACTGGGCCAGGCTCTGATCTCTCTTAGGCTGATGCAAATCAGGAGCAATGGTGCTGACAACAGTGCAATAATCCACACTGATGTCAAGCCAGTAAAAATAAGAGCAGAAACAGAGTTTTGGTCTTTCGTCTGCCTCGAAGGGATCTGAGCAGCACTGTGAAGCAGAGAGCTGCAAACCCTGCAAAGAAAACTCGGTGTAAAGCAAAGGACACGCAGTGCCGTCGAAGGGCACTTGTCCTTTCCTGCAGTTAAGGAGGGAAGAGGTGTCAGCTTTTTACTTTTTGTCACAGTTAAGAAAAATAAGACTGAGAGTTCAGTGAGAAATGCAAGCTCTTAGCCAATGGCATCGTCATAGCCAGAATTAGGCTTGGGGAAAGCCCCAGCGCTGATGGTTTCAGCCTGGCAGCAGCACACACGGACGTATTCGCACTTCTCGCCTGGGACCGGCTGACGGCAAAAGAGCCGCGGGCAGCGCCTGGGTAACGCTGATTTGGGGGTGTGAGGGAGATGGGCTATCCCAGGGCAAACCAGACCGTGGGAGGCAAGAGCTGCGACCGTCCCCAGACAGGCAGGACACCAAAAGATGGGCATTGCCTTTTGCCTGGGGTGCTGGTCCCAGATCCCCCCAGGGATGGGGGGCAGGACCGCTGCTCCCCTGCAGGGCTTGCGTGCGGAGCAGCACCCCGTCCCCGTCCCACGCACAACCACCCACCCGGTGAAGCCCCGCTTGCCGGTGGGCTCCCTGGGGGGCTGCCAGGCTCCCAGCCACTGCCAGCAGCTCCCCTTGTTCACAGTTGTGTCCCCCCCCTCTCCCCGGTCCCCCTCTCCCCAGGTGTGGTTTCAGAACCGGCGAGCGAAATGGCGCAAGCGGGAGCGGTTCGGTCAGATGCAGCAGGTCCGGACTCACTTCTCCACCGCCTACGAGCTGCCCTTGCTCACCCGTGCTGAGAACTATGCCCAGGTGAGCGCATCCCACCCCCCCCAACTCTGGTCCGTCTGTCCCAGTGCCTACTGGACACACCACCTCTGCTCCCAGTCCCCCCCACTCCCCTCCCCAAGCAACGCTTCGCTTCTCGGGTTCATCCAGCTGCAAGGCTGCAAGATCGCTGGGGCTGTATTTCCAAGCACTGAAGGGCCAGGAGTTATTTAGCCGGGTGTCCTGCCTGGCTGCCTCGTGTCCTGGCCCGGAGCAGCCATCCCGAAAGCGGGCACCAAGCCCAGCGTTGCGTGACACGGTGCAGTCGCCCTGCTCAGCCCATCCTATTGCACTGTCCTTCTCCCATCATATGTGCTACTGCTCACTAACTGGTTTGGAAAAGCTCCAAAAGGCTGTTTCACGCCTAAAAACCGGCAGTTCCCAGGAAGGCTTCTTGTTGCCGTGCCTAGGTTTCCATGCCCTTTTTTTAGGCGGTTGGACAAAAGTATTTTTTCCCCTGGCAAATTCCCACAGCTGTCTCCCAGCAATGGGCTGCGGTACCCGCAGCACACTCGGTGACGTCTGGGGATGCTTCCCAAGGGACTTGTGGGTTTCTGCTCCAAAGGAAGGGTGGGAGCAGCCTTGTTGAGGTATCTGGGGCTGCTGCCGGGGCCCGTTGAAACCATTCCTGCCCTGGCCCGGGAGGCAGGTGACACGGCTGCCTCCCTGCCTTAGGTTCTTGTCCTGGGAAACTTGTCACCATGGCTCGAGGGCCCCGCAAAGCACTCCCTCCGTCCTGCCAACTCCTCTTCCCGCCACCCAGAATTTTCTCGAGGGCGCAGTTCCGCAGGGGTGATGCTCTGAACCCGACTTGTCCTCGCGGATCTGTTGGGAGTCCTTCCCTCCCTCCCCAGCCAGCCAGCCAGCCTCTCTCCCGCTTGGCATCTCCCCCCCGAACCGAACAAGAAGTCCTTATGAAACAGCTGAGAGATGCCAAAGCAGCTTTTCAAGCAGAGGACACTCTCAGCAGCCTTTTCAGCACTCCCTTCTCTTGCCTTTGTAACTTAGACTGCTCCCTCCCTCCATACTGCCCTCGTCTCCCAAGCCCTAGAGATCAAAAAAATGAAAAGCAATTTGCAAGAGGTAAGAGATCAGAGAGGGCCCAAGGGTGAGCGGTGGGATGAAGGGCCCTTTGCTCTCTCGCTCCGGCCAGCTGCTTGCCTCCTCCTCCTCACTTTCATCCTGCGTGCCCCTGTCCCCCCGCTCCGCCGCAGCACACCTACTCCTGTTGGCAAATGCTCAGCCCCCCTCTCTTCTTCTGCAATATCTTTTTGAGTGATGCTTCAGGAGCCCAGACGGCCGCTCGAGGGTGAGAGGCAGGGAAACTGCCCGTGCTGGGGGCTGAAGGCAGCTCACCTCCGACGGGCACAAAAAAGCTCTCGCTTAGGCAAAGCTGCCCCGAGCTGGGGCAGGAGGGTGGATGGGCATTCTCGCGGCATCCCTTTCTGCCTGTTCCCTCTGTCGTGGGTAGCCCCACGGAAACACCGTGGACGGCGCCGGGTTTTCTGTGCCCAGAGCATCCCTGCTCCACAAAGCGCTCGCGGGGCAAAAAAAAAAATGAAAGAGAAAAGGCTGGGAGGGGGAACAGATGAACAGAGAGACACTGTGGCAGAGGAGGTCCTGTTCCCTGGGCATTAGTCTCCCGCGCTCCCTGCCCCTCTCCAGGCTGGCACACAGATTTTGGAGCAGATCTGCTGGCTCCGGGGGCCAGCATATCGCATCCCCTCGCACGCAGGGCAGGCCAGCCGCCGGCCACATCCCGCATGGAGCAGCCCTGACGCTTCTTTTCCCACCCCCTCCTCCCTCCAGATCCAGAACCCCTCCTGGATCGGCAACAACGGAGCCGCCTCCCCCGTGCCCGCCTGCGTCGTCCCCTGCGAGACGGTGCCCTCCTGCATGTCCCCCCATGCTCATCCCCACGCGGCCGGCGGCGTCTCCGAGTTTCTCGGCGTCTCCGGTCCCGGCAGCCACGTGGGACAGACTCACATGGGCGGCCTCTTCGGCACGGCCGGGATGAGCCCCGGCCTCAACGGCTACGAGCTGAACAGCGAGCCGGACCGCAAGACCTCCAGCATCGCTGCCCTGAGGATGAAAGCGAAGGAGCACAGCGCCGCTATCTCCTGGGCCACATGACATGGGTTTCCAGCCCAGCGCCCGCGAGAAACGGAGAGAGCACACGGGGACAGCTGAATAAATCCATCCGCTTGGACTCCAGACAGCAGTTGCCTCCTCGGGGATCTGAATGCAGCACTTTTAGCTACCCTAGGCGTATAAAGTACATATGTTAACGTAAGTGGAGTGTTTCCAGCGCGAACGCGGCAGCTTCTGGCTTCGTCGGAGCAGGTGGGGAGAGGGAGACTGTGGAGCAGCACCTCTTCCAGTGAGATCTGGGATGGGATGCGTCCCCTCTCGCTGCCGCCTCCCCAATAACCTGGGCATTTTTTTCTCCCCGCTCCTTTTTCTGACACCAGATCTGCCTTTCCAAAGAGCAAGAGCCCGCTGGCATTTCAGTGGTTTCTCCCATCCCACCCCCCAATTTGTCGACAGTGTTGCTCAGATCTGTTCTGCCCTGGGCAGGGGACTGGATGGGGACTCTGGCACCAGCAAAGAGCCACCTCTCAGGCTGCTCCCGTCCTCTTAGCAGGAGCCATGACTTCCCACAGCTGAGTGGGGAACAGGGCTGGGAAGATACCCGAGGCTAGAAAGAAGGCAAACATTAGCCCACCTCCTTTTACCCTCCTTCCTCCCCGTCTTGCTGTCTGAGATGAAGCCCAGAGCCGTAGATGCCCGTGAAGGGAATGCCTCTCTTCCCAACACAGCACGGTTGGGAGTCTTTGCCAGCCCTCCGGTCGCCCAGCCGGAGATAACACCCCAGCAGACGATAGCTTCCCAGCACAGCTCGCTTTGCCGTGGTCAACGTTGAGGCTCAGGCGCGTGGTGGGGCAGCAAAAGGTTTCACCTGGCTTTCGCTGGGTCGGGAATTACTATCCACAATTTAGAGCCAGCAGTTACAGGAGGGGAGCGCAGTTGCCGTGTAAATCCACAGGCCCTCAGAGAGACGGCTCTGAGAAACAGCTCAAAGCGCCAGCACGCAGCCACGGTTGCGTGAGGCCACCAAATTCCCCAGACACCTCGTCTCGGGGTGAGAAACGTGCAATGACAGCCTCTCCCTGCAGCCCTCCGCCCCGGGACCCCGCTCCACGCAGCCACTGGGGGCATCTCCGCGCAGGGGGATGGCCCGGGGAGCAGGCTGGGAAGGAACCCAAGGCTGGACGAGGCGATGCTGCCCCATCTCCAGCCATCTCGGATCCTCTTCGCCTTGCAGAGGAGGCAAGAGACACCAGAATTTGCCTGGTTTGTCTGAGCCCACGTGCCTCCCCGCTTCTCCCTCCCAGCGCTCTTACCTGCAGAGCGCTAACTGTTAAGTAAGGTCTCCTTCGCAAGGCTAAATCTTTTACAAGCTTTTCAATGGTCTCGTAGCGCTAGGAATAATTTTTGAACATCCTTTTACCCCACTGAATTATCACCAAGGAGAAGCTGAAGGTCGGCTGGGCGCTATCACCCACACGGCGTGGCTATTGCAGGCTGAGCTTGAGCTGGGACAGATTCTCTAAGATTCGCAAGGGAACTACAGGATTTTACTCCCATAAAAATTAGTGTGCCACCCTGCCCTCCCTCCTCATGCTCAGCGTTCGGGGATCTTGTAGTTCAGGGTCCAGGAGCATTTAGAGGTCTTGGAAAAGGCTCCAAATAAGCTACAACCAAATGTCAGGTTTCAGGTTAACAAGACACACAAGTATTTTCTATAGTGCCTAGACTGCCATATGCTACCTGAACGATACACCATTGCTAGATCAAATGTAGTATATATTTATTGGAATACGAAAAGACCAGTAGCACTGTCTTTTCTCTCCTCAGAAACGCTAAGAGATGCCTTCCTTGGTACTCACAGGGAACCAGCACGCATTTAACCACACCGTGCGTACGACCAGGGCCTCCCCCATCACAAGCAGCCAGGACTTCTGTCCCAGCCTAAACATTCAGCCAAGCCATCGGGCACGATGGCCTAGGTGCTAAAAGCGATGCCGATGGCTGAACCAGTCGGGATCACGCCGACCAGTCGGAGGCGGACATCACCCCCGCCGGGTGCCCCAGAAGCCACGGGGAGGGCCGTAGCTATCGAAGAGCTTAGCTGCATTCCCTACTGAAGTTAAAGGGTAGCTTTTCCTCACGGACTTCCACGGGGCCAGGATTTCACCCAAGCTGTTTTAACAGCCCAGAGGATTAAGTGCCGTATCCCTTGTCTTGTTAGAGAGGAGAGTCTCCTGGCTCAGACTTGGCATTTAGAGAGCCCCCGCTTTCTCTCACCTTCAAATCCACGTGCAAAGCACACGTTGGACTCGCTCAACCTATTTTAAACGCCGCTGGCCCTAAGCCTTGCCTGAAAGCATCACGAGGTGAGGCAGGGGGGGATGTTGTTCCCCGGAGCACCCCCATCGCTCGCTGGGCTCTGCCTCCCCTCTTCGGGTGCTGCCGCCGTACCGGCACGGCCCCTCGCGCCCACGCCTGTGGGTCACGCTGGAAGGTGCTCCCCTCGGAAGCCTCCGAAAGCAGCTGTTTGGGCAATTTTGAAGCTACGTGCATCTGTATTTACACACATTTTTTTAAATTAATTTAAAAGTTTTTTTTAAACTAGCTGTTAAATTAACAAGAAACTGTATAAATATATATATACTTTTTTTTTATATATATATATATATGTACCTTAATCTAGCCAACCTGCGGCTACTGCATTTCTTAAGGGTCACAGGGTCAGTGCTGTTCCTGCAATCTCGAGTTACCATGATGATGCCTTTTTTAATTATTATTATTATTATTATTATTATTTTAATACCTTTCAACTCTATTTATGACTTTCTTCTCTATTTATTTCTTATTTAGTATTTCACTCCTGTCCATACGTTGAGTTGCGATTCCCTGGCTCGGACTTACCTTCGAAGCTGCAAGCTTCGTCATCCCCGGCCACCACCAAAATGTCTCACAAGCCCCAGCCACCCCAAAACCCGCCATACCGCTGGTGGCATCCTCTGTGGGTGCAGCACCCAGCTGCCCTCTCCGGCCTCACCGAGATAGCAAAACGTTTCTCCCAAGCAGTCCTGGCCGTGCAGCGGGTACCCTACAAGGGAGCTGCGTTACGTTGCCCAGACCCATCCCAGAGCTTTGAGACCAGGAGGATGTAAATAGCGAGAGCAGGATGGGTTCCCGGCCCCGGTTTAAAAGCGGTCGGGTACCACTCGGAGGCACTTCTTCGCCTACGAGCTGTAGTTAGCGCTTTGGTAACAACTGCAAACCAGTAGTGAACCAGGTTGGGGCTTGCTGGGTCCTAACTTTTCAGAGCTGCTGTGCCCGAATGAGCTTACGGAGAGGGGCTCCGACTGCCTTCTCTTGAACACGCTACTCCGTTCAGGTCTCGCTGCCCCAGCACCTAACTGGGCAGATCCCGCAGGGAAAAGGACCGACAGCAAGGTGAAGGAGAACCAGCCTCCCTTCTCCTCTAGAGCCCACGGCAGCGCGCATCCCGGCCGGAGCGCGTATCCCTGCCGCAACGTGCCTGGCCTGAGCCGGGAACGCGGGCAGGGCGTTAGGGGAAGACGCCGCGTCACCCGTGATGTCGCAGAGCTGCGGCACGTGTCGCTTTACCTGCCACGGGGACGCGGTGCCAAGCCGGGCTGGGTTTCTCCGGCGGTGGAGGTGCGTTTCCCCGATTCCCGGAGTACACCCGGACCGGGCAGCGTGTTGTAAAACGCTCTCCAAACAAACAAAGGCAAAAAGGTGGTTTCCCGGGAAAGGTTTGAAAAATAATCAAGCGGAGGCAGAGCCCCGTGTTTATTTTGCTGCTCTGACTGACACGGCAAAAAGCAAACAGACCCAAGGAGAAATTAAACCCAAATGGGAAGGAGGGGCGGAATCAGATGGAAAGTCATTCAGCCCTTCGCAGCTTCCCAAAGGGAGCTGGGAGGAGGCGACGGAGCGGCCTTGCACCCCCTTAACTCTTTGCTGGTAACATGGTTCCCCATTCCCCCCACATAGCTAGGTAGGTAGGTAGAGCTAGGACTTTTATACTACTGATTTTGAAGGACAGTTTTCAATGTATAATAATATATCGGTTTAGGTGTGCAGTGTTTGAAAGAGAGACTGGGAGAAAGAAAGAAAACAAACCTCAATCAATATTATTGGGTTTTTTTGTTGTAAAATATTGTAACCTTGTATAAACGCAAACTTTTTTTTTTTCTTTAGCTTAACAGCCTGGGGTAGAACATATTAAAAAAAAATTAAAAAGTTTTTAAAAAGTTCAGGAAAAAAAAGAATAAAAAAAAATCATTAAAAATGTTGCCATGTGAGGTTTGTGCCATGCAATGTTATTGCCTATGCAGCCATGTATTACTAGTTCATTACAGTGGAATATTAAAAAAGAACAAACAGTCTTGCAGCTTGGTTCTTTTAACTTTTTCTGAAGTAAGTTATTGCACTTGCAGCTTTTTTTTTTTTTTTCTTTTTTTTTGGGGGGGGAGGGGGAGTTTAAGGGGGGCTGCAATTTCTGGGCACCAATTTTTATTTTTCCAGTTTTTGAAAGGAGTGGCATCGCTGGGAAGGACCCTGCTTCCCAGCCGCCCTGGCCGAGGGGGCACAAACACTGTTGTTGTTGTTTTGGTTTGCAATAAACTCCTTCTCTTCTCTCCTCTCAACTGCAATCTGGCTGGTTTGTTCCTGACTCATGACAGATGAAATGTGATCAGAGGGGCCTCCAAAATCTCACGTTAATTGAAGTTGGCAAAAAATACTAACAGTGCCCTTTTGAACTGCTGACGCAGTGCAGAATGGATTAGCCGGGGGTAGATTAACAACAGGTGGCAGCTCACGGGCCGCTGCCTCTCCCAGTACAAAGAGATGGTTAACAGCCAGCGGCCAGGCGCGGGAACGTCCTGCCAGCCAGCTCCCGGCTAACGAGGGCCTCTCTGCCTCCGAGAGCGCGGTTCGGCATCGCTCGGCATCACCAACCAGCGCAGAGGGCACCGTGGCCGCAGGGAAGAGAGGAGGATGGTTGCCCTTGCTTACCACGCCAGAGCTGCTGCTTCTGGC